AAATGATACACAGTAAATAAATAACTGTTGAGCTAAAAAAGAGAAAAAAATATAATAATTAATCATGTTGTGTCAGTTAGCTTAAATTACGGCTAACTAATCTTAAATACTCCATATCTTAATAGGTAATTGAGTATCACATTACAAATTTCAAATTTCAAAATTATATCATTTACATTGACGAAAAGGTTATGAACATCCATTGAGAAAATGAGAAATTCAAATAAATTTCTGTTTTTTTTTCTGCCACATGATGAATATCAATTTTACTGAGGCATTCAGGAATTTGGATCAGCGAAGTGCAATATGAAAGTTACAAAAGCGATGAAATTGTTGTTGGACAATCAATTTCGTTTTTGAATCTCAAAGCAGCAATTGCAGTCGAGTTGGATATCGATGTATCAAGAAAAAACATTGAAAACAATAGATGTGATGGCGAAATATAAGATAAAGCAACACTTGTAGATGTGATGGCGAAATATAAGATAACGAACAACTTCAATTGGAAAGTAAAGAGATTTTATAGACAAAGGTATGAGAGTGTTTGAAATTTTCAGATCTTTAAATGGTGATACAATTTTTTTGTTTGAATATCTGATACATTATGAATTAAAAAGTCTGTGATTAAGATTTTTGTGTAGATGTTGAATATGATTTTTGGTATACAGAGTATTTGTTGATACATTAAGTGAATATGGTTGTAACTTTACTGAATTTTATAGCAACAATGATTTAATATGAGTTCGTTAGTTCGTTGATACATTGAGTGAAATCTGTTTTAATAAATAATTCATTAGTTCTTAAATATTATTGATACATTGAGTTAACTCTGTTGATACTTTAATATACTACTACTGAAACACTAATCATAAAGATGATACATTATAAAATATTGTGATACATGTAAAAAAAAAATTTGTTCTTGCATTGCAAAAACAAAAAAATAGCCTCTCATACAAGAGACACATTAGGGAGAAGATTTGAGGAGGTATTGATTATAAACGCGTCTAAAAGTTCAAAGATGAAGGTATGTATCATGATATATTATTTTATATTATATATATCTAAATCATTGATTCATCTGCAGTTTGAACATGATTTTTTTGAAATAATTGTATATTTTACTTTTTTAATGCAAGCAGGTTGTTCCATCATCTGAATTTATTTTCTAGTTTATGAAGCTGGAAGAAGATACATTGTTTGTCTTGAGCAGAAAGTATGTTGTTGTGGAAGATTTCAACTAGATGAGATACCTTGTGCACATGCAATCACTGTTTTAACAAAAAAGGATGTCAAAGATTTGCATCCGTATTGACATATGAGATTCCAATGGTACCAAATATAGATAAGGAAGATTGGTCAGCTCCTGAGGATGTGGTGGCTGAAACTGTGTATCCACTACCAAGAAAAAAGAAAAAAAAATGCAAACGAAAAGATCACTGTGAACATAAATTTTTGTGGACAAGAAGGACACAATAGAAGAACTTGAACTTTCTTTCCAAAAGAAAAGTAAAATAATCGTAATTTTTTTAAAACATTAATATTTTTGTTGAATAGTTTTTCACGTAAACAATTATCATTTTAAGTACTGTTTACATTTGTTATTGATCAGTATTGGTGTTTAAAAAAATACTTGGTTATGATTGTGTTAAATAAATTTTAAATTGTACTTATAATTATAAATACGTTGTTATGACTTGTGTTAAAAATACTTATGTATCAATATTACTTTTGTTTAATAAACTATGTTATTCACTTATAATTATAAATAAATTGTTGAGTAACGCATATACTAATGTATCATGTGCATTCGATAATGCATCAAGTACATTTAATTTGATAACATTTGTTAAGGTTACTGTATCACAATGACTATACATCATGTATCATGTAATGTATATTAAGTATCATGTGTGATAATTTATTTGATACATACATTAAACAACTATTTTTAGCACAACTATTGAATTTGTGTTGAAAAATACCTTTGTATTAATATTACTTTTGTCAAATAAATTATGTTATGCACTTATAATTATAAAAAAATTATTGGGTAACGTATACGCTAATGTATCATGTGCATAGACTAATGTATCATGTACATTTAATTTGATAACATTTGTTTAATTATAGAAATTTATAAATGAAGACAAATATTAATTCTAAGATTAAGGAAAAAAATATTGACATTAAAAGTCAAACAAAATAAGTTTTTAGAGAAACACTCCAACACTTAAGTTAATGTACATTGAAAGTAGTATTAACTAAAGCACTGTCTATCCATCGATACACAGTAACTATTCCGAATTAACTAATGCATCATGATTTGGTGGTGTGAAATGAAGCCTAGACTTTGATGGATCGTCATTATCACTAATATACCTTCTGCGGCCTTTTGACTGCCATATTTTTTTTAGCAAAGCTGCATATCTTCTCATAATCAGACCAGAAAGCATCAGATTGGATTGAAATTTCATCGCTAAAAATTTTAGGAAACGCGCTACAAACAATCCACAATCCCTACAAATATAGAAGATACATCAAAAACGAATTTAAAATATACTTCAAAATTTATAAAATTTACAGTGTGTCGCTTCCTTGATGAATAATGTCTTGTGCATAATCAACAAGAAAAGGGTGCTTTGGTTTTAATAAACCTTCAATCCTTGTCCTTATAAGTATCAAGAGATAACCAGTTGATTCGCTTCGATTGATAAAAAAATTCACTGTTCTAGAGGTAAGTAGGCGACATTAGAGATAATTTTTTAATGTCACTCGAATAAATTTTTCTCCTTGATCCAGATGTTGAGTCGTAAATACGTATTAGTCTCTTTTTCAAAACAACAACCAATATCTAATAAAATTATCCATCACGATTCATTGGTAACCTAGCCGAAATTTCAAATCATTAATTATGTATAAACATCACACATGCTGAATATATTTATAACTTGATACATTGAAAAAAATATAGACAAATGAACAAAAATTAAAGACATAAAAAAGTAGGGAAAAGGGTCTGATATACTCCTCAACTTTGTCATTTAGAACTGATATACCCCTTGTTATG